ACTCAGGTCCCTGCACTGAATTCATTGTTCCACTGTCAGAACCCAAGAAGTAGCCCTGCTACCCATACCACTCAGGTTTATTCCCTGGAGGCACATCCTAGACCTTCGAAGGTGAAAGCACTCAATTCCTCTGGACACAGACTGGAGTTAATGAGGAAGCAGGAGCAGTCATAGAGCCCTGGGCTCATACTAGGCTCCATCCTGACTGCTATGTGACCTTGGATGAGGCAAAGCCCTCTTTGAACCTATAGTCTCACTCAGCAGCCAAACAATCCCTGGGGTCCCTGCCAGGAAAGAAACTAATTTCAACTGGTCATGTGCCTCAGAGTTCTCACCTGCTGTTCCATAGTAGCCTTCAGGAGTTAACAGTTCAAGGAAATGATGTCAGGATGAGCACCAGGGTAGGGAGGTCCAGAGGGTAGAGTAGGGGATATTTTGGGGCTGGTGGATCACCCACTCAATGCCGGACAATGGTCCAGGGCGGTCATTGTGCTGGGAGTGGAAAATCCTTTTCTGACTCCCTCTACAAAGGCTGAAAATAGTCTAGGGGAGTGGATGGAACATGGTTCTACCGAAGAGTGACTGTCCCCGCCTGGCCCATTGTTCCTGGTTGGGACAGGGCCGAGACAGACACCTGGCTGAGCTGGATCCAACATAGGCAAGCCCAGAAAGCCCTTCCAGAAGGAAGAGTAGCTGAGCAGAGTCCAGTGTGATCCAGGATGGGCACCTGAGGCCCGGAGAGGAGAAGTGGCATGCCCAGGCACAGAGCAGCAGGGCAGAGGAGGGTAGGAATTTTCCTGGGGGGCTTGATTCCCACACTTCCCCTCACCCCAACACAACCCCCGCCCTGTAGCCCAGTCACTCCTGATCCAGCTCCGCCCTCCGCTCACTGGAGGCAGGAGCAGCCCAGCTTTCTACAGTGTGGCACTGTGTGGTGGCCATGATCACTCCGTCTCTCTGGTCACTTGAGCCTGGGAGGGCTCACTGCCAGTCCCCTGAATTGAGAGCCCAGTGGGCTTGGTTGTTCGTGACCCTGAAGGTGTAGGCAGCAGTGGTTGCCTTCCCTGAGGTGGGGAAAACTGGAATTGGGAAGCGGCAGCCCAGAGAGAGAGGCAGGTGGTTTCAGGTCACACAGCAAAAGCTGCCCAGTCATTGCCCCCTCTAGACCAACTCCAGGCCACTCCTCCCATCCTGGATCTTTGTTGAACCAAGGTGTGGCTGCAGACCACCATGGTGGGCACTGCCAGCGAGAAAGGAATACCTAAGCCTGCTGCCAAGTGGGCCAGAGCTCTCTACCCCAAAGGGGCTGGCTCCTGCAGCTTGAATTAGGGGTACTTTCCTCGGTTGCTTCCGCCTTCCACTGTCCCCTCTCTGTTGCCCTCCAGATAGGCACCTGGAAAAAGTTCTGGAAATATATACAGGCTTGTGTGCCTGAAAGCCACCAGGGCCAGGCAGGGCAGAGGGAGGGCCACACCTCAACCAGGATGTTCCTGCTTCCCTCCTCCCACAGCCTGGGGAAACCTGAGCCTCAGGGGTACTGGGCATCAGGCCCCCAGGGGCTGCTCGCTGGCCAGGCACACTGTCTTCTTCTTCAAACATTTATCTCAGTGTGTGTATTTATTAAATTACATCAACCTCGGGAAGGCAGCCCCCCCACCGTCCCACCCTCACTTGCCTCCATGGCCCCTAGTTCAGCGTCAGGTGTGGAAATACCACATGCCAGGCACTGCACTAAGCGCTTCGTGGGTCACTCAGGTGAGCTTCCTAAAGCCCTACAAGGAAGGTAGCATCTCATTTAAATAAGGAAATCGAGGCACTACAGGATTAACTCACCCAAGGTGCCATGGCTGGAAAATGGAAGGTGACATTGCAACCTAGGTGGGTCTTGGTGCAGAATCTGGGCTCCTAACCCCATCCCTGCTGGACGGGCTTCCTGGTTCTGAGTCATGCCAAGGGTGGCATCCAGACCCTCCTGCCCTGCAGAGGTTGAGTGGTGTGGGACACTGGGAAGGGAATCATGGGAGCACCAGGGGGCCCTGGTCTCACCTGCTGTGTGTGTGTCATCTGGAGCAAGCCCTTGGCTCCCCTCTCCTCTGTCCTCACTGCTAAATGCAGAGGCTAATATCCACTGCTCGGGGTGGGCATGGAGGATAAACAACATGATGCCTGGGAAAGTCTTGCATGGTGCTTGGGACATGGGTCAATACCTGAGTCCCCAGCCCCACCCCATTCCCCCGTGTGCCTGATGTGAAACAGACCAGCCCAAATCTGCCAAGATGATGTGGACAGAAAGGCAGCTTTGGTGGCTTGACCGGGAACTAGACTGGAACAGCCATGTGGGGGAGCATGTCATCGAGGGTCTTTCTTAATCTTGGAGGTGGGACTGTCCTGTGGATCCCCCTGAGTCAGGGGATGCCTGCCACCCAGGGGAGAGACTCCCATGTGCCAGGGGCCATGCACTGTCACACAGAGGTCACTGAAAAAGCAGCTGCAGAGAGGCCAGCAAGCCTGACTCTCACCTCACTCCTTCCGGCCCCCTGCCTATGTCCCTGGCCTCTGCCCCTTGGCTCTGGGAAAGAGCTGTGCAGTGTGGGTGACACAGGATTCCTACACAGGCACTGATCTGCTCCAGACTGGGTGGCACAGCCGCAGGAGGAGTCTGAGCCTCTGGCCCACATCCAGGCGCCACGCTGACCTGCTCAGTGACCTTGGACAAGGCCCCGCCCCTTTCTGGCCTTGAGGCCTGTGGCTAGGCTGGAAAATCCCTGGGGTCCTGTTAGCTGGCTGGGCGACTCATGTGGCCTTTCACAGTGTCCTTTAGTAGTCAACAGCCCTAGGAAGTGATGTCAGGGTGGGGAGAAAGGGAAAGGGCAGGGAGGTCCAGAGGTTAGGGGAGATATTTTAAGGATAGGCAGGTCACCCCACGTCACTGTTGGACAATGGTCTGGGGCCAGGAGTGGAAAATCTTGGTCTTACTTGGGCTGAAAATAGCACAGGAATCAGAGGAACCTCAGCCACCAGGCGTGTGGACTGGGCACTGAGCAGCAAGGCCAGATGTCCATATAGAGGGCCAGACAGTCTGGTTGGGGTCTGGAGATGTGACCCTGGGTCCTGTCCTTGGGTCCCCTAGGGGCTCCATTTCTCACCCCACTCATGCCTGCCACAGGAATAGATGGTGGGTGAGCCACCCATCCCTCCAGTCCTAGACCCTTAGAAATCTGCAAGCAATTGTTCAAGGAAAGCTTCCTAGGGCCAAACCACAGCGTTGCCTGCTTCCACTTGGGGCACTGGGCTCTCAGGGTCTCTAGGGAAGCTGCAGGAGGGGTGGGTGGGCAGGACATGAGAGGAATGGGGACTAGGAGAATCCAGGGCCCTGGCAGCCAACCACAGATGCACAGTAAAGTGTCCCAAAGTCATGATGTGCAACTCCCCATCTGTAGGTCTCAGGAGGGGTGAGGGTCAGAGTCAGCCTTCACACTCTTGGCCATCAGAGCTTCTCGCCTCGGAGGGACTCCATATAAACACTGATGGGGTTCAGCCTGCACAGCAGTGAGTAGGAAAAGATAGGCTCTGGCCTACCAAAAAGACCCAGGATGGTCTGTGTGAGGTGGTAACCAAAAAAGCTCCAAGAAGCTCTGGCTACATTAACAAAAATATAGAACCTAGAATGTGGCAGGTGAACATCTCACACTCTTCTGAGCAGGTCACCCAGAATTGCACAATGCAAAGTAATCACTTGGGTCGTGGCCTGTAACCAGTCCCTGTCACCTGAGGGAGGTGTCGAATGGGGCTCTAAGTAAAACAACCCCATGCCTATGGTACCAGCTACTCCAAAAGCTGAGGCAGGAGGATCACTTGAGTCCAGGAGTTTGAGGCCAGCCTGGGCAATGTAGCGAGACTCTCAAAACAACAAACATAAACAGAGCAACCCCCGGGGATGCCCTGCCTTTGACAAAGCAGAGTGGAAAGGGTGGTAGAGGTGGGGTGAGAAAAAGGGCCCTTCTCTTGGGCAGAGTGGGCTCACAGGGCAAGGGTTCTCCTAGAGGGAGACAACTGAGCTCCTGTCCTGGAGGTCAAGAGTGAAGCCTGTTGTTCTTCCCTGGCCCTGGCCCTGGCTAGTTGAGCTCCATAAATCAGCTCAGAGTGGACCCAACACTCGTCACAAGTGAGACCCACCCCCTATGTTAACCCAGCTTGAACACCAACCATCAGCTGTAGCTGGGATTTTCCCAGAAGGCCAAGGCCTACATGGGAAGAGACGTGACTCTCTCTCTCACTTAGCCAGTGTAAAGGAAGCTTCGTGGTCGGAAAAAGAAGGAAGACTGGCTCAGCCTCCTTGTGATCTGGCCCCTGGCCTTATCTCTCTCTTGAGCCTGAGAGCCACCTGCCAACCTGCTATGGTCCCTGCACACCCACCCTCTACCTGCACATCTTTGCTTAGGATGTGTCTGGTACCTGGATGTTTCAGTGAACTGCTTTCTCAGAAGCCACAGCTCAGGAGCACCCACCACTCCAGCATTCCCTGACCTGCTGGCCCACAGCCCCAACCACTCAGCATCATCCCAAGATATGCTGGAGCAACTTGTACCTGTCAACAGTCAAATTTTCAGGAATTTTGCAAAGAGGTTCCCATTGCTTTGGTAATTTGAAATTGTGCATGGTAGGAATATTTGTATCATTGGCAATGCTACAAATAAGGGGTTCCCTGCTGCCAGAGATCCACTTAAAAGGTTTAACAATAACCAGCATATGACTGGTTGTTACCTAAATTGGGGAACTCCAAGGACTGGAACCCCACCTGACTCTTGGCACAGAAACCAACTGGCTTTAAAGTGGGAGAGCACCTGAGGCCTACAGAGGGATCCCTGATGTGAAACTCCCCTGAAGCAGCCAGTGGGAGGCAGATGGCAGAAGAGAACAGGCTGGAGAAAGTCTTTTAAGGGGTGTTGAAACCCTCCCAGACAGCATCCCCATCCTCTGACCAAACAACAGAGCACAGCTCAACAAGCAGCATAATCTTTAGTTTCAGTTACAGCCTCTAACTGTAGGCTGCAGGCTGGGAGCCTCCAGATGGGTTTATCACATCAGTTCCCAGATGTTCATCTCTCGGGCTAGGAGTACTCCTCTAAGCTGAGTCCACTAAGCACCTAGTCCCACCCAAGACTGCTGTGGGAGCTCAACCCTGACTACTCACCAGGGCCCTCTGATTAACCTGTGACTCTGCTCCACTGTAGCTAGCTCAGGTCTAGACTGCTGTTTGACCCTGGTACATCTCCTTCCTCTCAGGGCCTTCTCCATTTGATTTGATCAGGCTGGATTCCAGTCTAGATACCTTGACAGGATCAGCCAGCTATCTGCATGGGAGTCAGGTGGCACTGGCCCTAAACATGTGTCTGTTTTGAAATCTTATTACCTAACTCACACATACAAATGATGGCAATTGACTGTCTGGACCGTAAGGAAAGTATCCTGAGGCCCTGCCAAGTGACAGTCACAGATGGTCAATTTCTGGGTACACTGTCCCATTTGAACAAGCCCTGGTCCCTTACAGCTCCCCCCATATAAACTTGCACAGGCCTCAGGGGTCAGGTCCTAGAGCCGGATGTCCTTAGTGTTCTCGTTCCCAGCTGGTGTGGACTCTGTCCGCCTGGAGTCCTCACTGCTGGCTGCCAAATCTGTCCTCTTGGCATCAGTTCTGCCAGACCTGTGCAGGCCCAGCCTGCGCCGAGCCCGGGTGGTAGGGTTGGGGTCTGTGGGTGGCTTCGCATCTCGGGCAAAGCGGACAAGCCTCTGCCCGGCCAGGAAGTAGAGCACAGGGTCAAGGCAGCTGTTGGCGCTGGCCAGCGGCCGGGTAATCTTATATGCCATGTTGATGGCATTGAGGGTGTGGCAGCTGAGATCAAGCGAGCGGAAGGAGTAGTAGAGGGTGCGGGTGACGTGGAAAGGCAGGAAGCAGAGGGCGAAGACAGCCAGCACCAGGGCAATGGTGCGCACCGACTTGCGCTTGGCCCGCGGCAGGCCTCCTGTGCTCCCATAAGCTGGTTGAAGCAGCCGCCGTGCCATGAGCACGTAACAGACCAGGATGGTGGCAAAGGGCACGGCGAAGAGCACACCTAGCATGACCGAGCTGTAGGCCACAAAGTGGCTAAAGAGCTCAGGGGCCGAGGTGTCATGGCAGGTGATGCGGCTCCCACGTGCGCTGGTGGTGACAAAGTAGAGCACGGGTGCCTGGCAGGCCAGCACCAACACCCACACCAGCGCTGCCACCCGGCGGGCGTAGCGGGCCCGGCCCCAGCGCAGGGAGCGTAGAGGGCGCAGGACCCCCAAGCACCGGTGAATGCTGATGCAGGTGAGGAAGAGGATGCTGCAGTAGAGGTTGGTGTAGAAGAGAAAGCGCACCAGCTTGCAGAGCACCGTGCTGAAGGGCCAGTGATCGCCGCGGGCGTAGTAATAAACCAGCAGCGGCAGGGAAGCCGCGTACAGAGCGTCGGACACAGCCAGGTGGAACATGTACGTGGTGGAGGCGTTCCAGGTCTTGAGGCGGCACAAGAAGATGTACAGCGCCACGACATTCAGACATAGCCCGAGCACGCACACTACGCCGTAGGACACAGGCAGCAGCACGTATTTGAAGTCCTCGTTGAAGCGGCACCTGTAGCCCAGCTCATCCCCATCCCAGGTGCTATTGATGGTGTCATTCCAGAGGTCCAGGCCCACCTCCATCACCCTGCGAGGAAGGGAGGGTTGAGAGGACCGCCATCAGGGTCAGGGTTCGGGCTCTGTGGAAATGCCTGACTGGCGCCCCTGACCAGGGCCAGGACAGACACAGAGGGCTCACAGATTCCCTTGTTAAGATTTGCCTAGGTTCAAGGGCTTTCTTTTTTCTTTTTTTTTCTATCTGGTTAGCAGCTCTCCCTGGACTCCAAATCTCCAAACCCTGAAACCTCAAGAATGCTTCAGATCCATGGATATCAGCCTCATGTAATTCTAAAACTCACAACAGAAGTTGGCAAATGGCCTGTAGCCCACCGTTCTTCTTTTTTTTTTTTTTTTGGAAGTAGAGTTTTAGCTTTATTGGAACACAACAATACCCATCTGTTTACAGAGTTGAGTGGGTGTGACAAAGGCCATATGTCTTAAAAAAAAAAAAAAAAAGTGTTGTTCCTGCTCTGCAAGCTCCAGATCAGAGGGTTTGAAACCTAGGATTCTGAGCTTTGGAACATGAGGATCTGGGGTTGCAGAGGGGGATAATTTCATGTACATGGGAAGGGGCCTTCAAGGCGGTATGGATCCAGTGCACACCAAGTGCCCTCTGCCTGCTCAGGGGTCTCTGGCCAGGGCAGCCCAGCTCCTTTGGAGGCATCCCAGGGCTTCCTTAGGTTCATCTTCCCAGTCTCTGGGGAGGCCGACATATTTCCTTCCTCAATCATTCACTTCTCATTCAACATATTTTTTAGGTATTCCTATATTCTGGCACTTTCGACATCTATACCCAGCAGTCCTGATCCCCAGCCTGTGGGGCTACCAGATGGGACAGTGACCTTCCTAAAGAGTCCAGGGAAGAGATGGGGATAGAGAATGGAACTTTTTTCATGGAACAAATCTAGCCTCTTCTGGGCACAGCTAGTTTCTCTTTACATACCATCACAATCCTGACATTCCCCTACCCTGTCCCTTGTGGGTGTGGGTCACACCCATGGGGTCTGAGCTCCACTTGCCTGGAGGGCAGATGCCACTTTCCTCCTCTTTCCGCCCCCCCCACCCCACCCTGTAACCAGTAAGAGCTCCCTCAGCTGGGAGGCAGTGGACAGATATCCTGGTCCGAAAGGCAAAGATATGCCCCCCAAAGTCCCAGAAGGCAGGATGGAAATCATCGCAGGAGCCCCCTGATGGGAAGACCCTCCTGAACCTCAGCCCTCTCATGGGTCAAATCCCCCAGCCTTGGAGAAATACAGCCTCCAAACTTCCCTCCTCGCCCTGGTCCTTCCCATGCTGCTGTTCTGCTCCTGCTCCAGTGCTGACCGCCTTGTCTCCCCTCAGAGGCAGGGTCAGGGCCCTCAGCATCCCTTCCTAGTCAACAGCCCATTGCCCTGCACCAAATTTCCTGCTGGAAACTAATGGTGGAATCTCTGACACTGAGAGGAGGGGTGGAGACTTCCCTGTCTCCCAGTGAACGGAGGGAGCTGCCCCTTCCACCTGCTTTAAGACATCCTGGCCTCCACCCTCCAGGCCAGCTGGCGACTCCATCACTGTGGCCCTGGTCCAGACTGACCTTTCCCACCCTCTCCCTCCACAGGCTGACTCACCAACTGTGAGACCATCTTCCTAGCCTCCAGTCCCTACTTTAGGAAGATAGCTATGTCCCCAGCCCTTTCCCTCAGGCCTCCCCTTTGCCTCTCCTGATCCCTGCTGCCCTGGACCCTCACCCTGAGCTCTGTAGGGACTGTTCCACCAGACTTTTGTCACTGGTCCCTCTCACCACTCATTGGCTCCACTGTGCCCAGTTCTGGCTGGCCCAACCCTGAGGAGCTCCCATTCTGGAAAGAGATGTGAGCTGTTTGAGGGCCCTCCCAGGCTTCCCTGACTTTATTCATGCTGTACTTTCTGTCTAGAAATTCTTTCCAGAACCCACACACACTGCACCCATCCTACCCAATGCTCCAGGTTCTTCTAATGTCACCACATGATTAAAGCTCTGCCCTTCTCAGGCACCTCCTCAGGCTGTTCCTCAGGTCTTGTTAGTAATTAATTGGTCCTTCCAGCTCTACCTCAATACATGCTAGGTGCTCTTTGAGGGCTGATTTCTGTCCCTATGACCCAGCAAGAGACCTGATCACAGCAGCTACTGCAGGAAAGAGAATGAATGAGCCAATGAGTTAAAGAAACACAACAGGTTGTGAGAGCCCCGAGGAGCTGAGATTGATGGAGGTGCCTCTCCTTTCTCTCTCTCCTCATAGGGCCTATAGGAGGACAGTGATACATAAAGATTTCTCTTTGGTGGTCAGGGGTCAGTGTGGCCCTTCTGGTGGCCCACCCTGCCCAGGGCCTTCTCCTGCCCCTGGACTATCCCTCCTTCAATAGCTGCAGGAGCCCAGAAGACCTTGCCCTTCTCTGGACAGGGCAGGAAGGCATCCTACAGATGGGTCAGCTGTCTAAGGTGAGTCACATGCTTTTACCTGGCCCATCTCTGATTCATAGTTTCCCATCCTGGAGTCCCCTCTGCTATTCTTCTTGCTCTGTTGTAGCCAGTCAAGGCCGAGCAGCTTCCATTAAGCATCTTCACGAATCCCTCACTCCCACCCCTTGGTAGATACTGCCATAGAAGTTAAGCTGTTTATTCAAGGTCACACTGCCAGGAATTGGAAAAACTAATCTCAACACCAAGGGCTGAATCTCAACACCGAAGCCTGAATTCATCACACCCTGGAACAAAGAAGCAGGGCAAGGCACCGGCCTTAGGATTCCCTCAGTCTAACCCGGGTTTAGTTCATTCACTTAGACAACATGTCAGCACCTGCCCAGCCTCCCAGCCAGCAGACCCACCTCACACACCTGTACCTGACCAGGCCCTGCTCTCACCTTCAGGATGCTCAGAGGCTGCTCAGGTTCCTCACTCATGAATGCACAGGCCTGGATCTGCCGCAGGGAGCTCTTCTGGCAAACAGGATAAACTGGTTCCCCGGCCTCTGGCCTTGCCCAGCCTCCAGCATTTTTCAGGGCAGACAGCTACAGCAGGGGCTCCTGCAGACACACAGAGTTGGACAAGGGAAGCCAACCAGGCCAAGTACCCCTAGGGCTCCCTCCTCTGTTCTAAATTTGGACCCCAAAAGACAGAGAAGTGATCGGATGTGCTTATCCTGGATGCACATCCACACACATCCCATTATCTAGCCCCAGCTCACACGCTCCAGGGAGCATGTCTGCAGCCCCCTTCCCAGGGACCCCCTTTCACAGGATGGAAGACCTCTTTCCATGTCCTGCAGGGCTGAGCCAGGCCTCCATCGTCCCCTCCCTCCATCTGGGTTTTGTGCTTTAGACAGGAAATGGTCAATACTCTCCTTGCCTAGTACACACTCTGTGGAACTTCTGCCAGCACATTTTTGCCTAAGCTGGGTCTCTAAGTAGCTCAACTCCCCACTCATGCCTCTAGTCATATCTCATGGGTGTTACACACACATACGGTCCATCTGAACACACAGGCACAGACACAGAGATACATGGAGGTGTGCAAATCCACTTTTTAAAAAAATATATTTTTTAGTTGTCAGTGGATCTTTTATATTTATTTATTTATATGCGGTGCTGAGGATCAAATCCAGGGCCTCATACATGCCAGGCAAGTGTTCTACCATTGAGCCACAACTCCAGTCCCCAAACCTGTTTTTGATGAGGAGGAAACAGTCCCAAGGCCTCAGGGTAAATCAAGGACAGAGTTGAGATTAGAACCTGGGCCTTCTTGTCTCACCTGGGAGCCTCATACACACCAAACCCCGGGCTTCCAGGAGGGGATGGTTGGCAGTGGAGGAACTCCTCTGTATGGGCAAGTCCCAGCACCCATGACCTCAGACACGACACAGCAGAAGAATGTGCCTTTCTGGAAAGATCTCTTCCCATCTGCTTCATTTCCCTAGAATGGAGGTGGAGAGGTGAGTGGCTACAGGTGTAGGGCCAGGAGGGAGCCAAGGGAAGTGCCTCTGGGCACTGTGTGACATGGGCCAGCAGGCTGGTTATTATCTGCCTGTCTGCTCTAGAATCCAGTGACAAGATGAAGAGCTTCATCTCTTCACCCCACTCCTCCCAGGCACACACCTCTCTCCTTTTGAGGAAATGCCTCCACTCAGTCAGCGGAGGAGCACAGCACTTCTTCAAGGTCATTCCCCCATTTCTGAGGAGGGCCTCCACCAGCCTTTCAGGATTCACCTTCGCTCTCCTCATCCCACTGGAAGCCCATCACTCACCAAGTCCTGTCAGTCAAGCAAGAGAGTCCTCCAGATAAGCCTTGTGTGTTTTGTGCACACCCACAGCCCTGTGCTTCTCTTCCAGACCCCACCAGCCTCTTCACAGGACTCCTTGCCTCCACCCCTGACCCTCTGTCCAGCCTTGATGCTGCAATCACATGAGTTTCCTAAAACTCAAATCTGACCATGTGCTATGAAGCTCAAAATCCTTCCATAGCTCCCTAAGTCCTTCAGGATAATGTCCAAGCTCCTTAACCTGGCACTTAAGGACCTGGCTGATCTGGTTCCTGCCATCCCTCCAGAAAACTCTACCCTCATCCTCTAGTCTCAGCACAGCAAAAGCAGTCATATGGCATATCTTGCTTGGGAACAGCCTTCTTTATCTTCTAACAACTCTATTGTAACACAAGTGAAGTGCTGTCTGTGTCAAGTTCTGTGTTAGACAGTTCATATACCTCTTCTCATTTAATCCTGAGACTTAGAAGGGCTAAATAACACCCCTCCCCCCAGGTTTACAAAGCTAGCAATGGCAGAAAACTCTGATCTGACTTCAGAAACTGTGTCTCTGACCATGGCCTCCTATCCGGCAAGGTCCAGGCCCTATCTACAGGAAGCCCACCACCCCTCTTTGAGCCCCATGGCTCTGTCTGGTCAGGTCTCCAGCAGAGGAGTGCCCAACTGATGTTTCCTCCTCTTAGTACTTCCCTAGTGTGAAGTGGCCAGATGGTTACTGCACCCATCTCACACATAGAAAAACTAAGACCAGAAAGGAGTAATTGAAGGTCTTGGCCAAGGTCACCAGGAAGTAAAGAGCCAAGCCAAGCCTAAGGGGGTAAGCCTACTTCCTGACCTGGCTCTGTCCCTACTCTAATCTGGGTCTTTCTGTGGTCCTAGGCTAGTGAGCCCAAAGCCAGGAGGAGGGACAGAGGCAGTTCCCAGGCTGGCTGCGGAATTTCCAGGGTGGTTAGACGACATTCCAGTTCCTCCACTAGGGTGGCTCTGGAATGTGCCACCCGCCTGACTGGTGGACCCTGTCCAGCCTGGCAGGGGAGAATGTCCTGTCACTACTCTGAAGACCCCCGCTGCCAGTCACTGCCAGGGGCGGGATGCTGTGATGAAGACACAATCAATGGGCCTAGAATGGCATCAAGGGGGCAGGAGGGAGTACTGGGCAGATGGGAAATCCTGCCATTCCCAGTTGTAGGTCCTGGACAAGTCTTGCAATTCCAAAACCCAAATCTCAACTTCCTTTTTTAAAAAATAATTTAATAATCACTTTATTTTTTTTTTTTAATGTGGTGCTAAGGATCGAACCCAATGCTAGGCAAGCGCTCTGCCACTGAGCCCCAGTCCCAGCTCCTCAACCTCCTCTTGATAGAAGAATAGAAGCTTCCCCTAGCAGGGAAGAAAGGATGGTCAGGGAAGGCTTCCTGGAGGCGAGGACCCTTACCTGCATTTTACAAGATAAGTAGGAATCAGGTGGTTAGACAGAGTGGAAGAGAGTGAGCAGAAACCAGGGCAAAGACGACAAGAACTGTTCATCATCCTTGTAGTTTGGGAACAGTGGAGGACAAGGCTGGGCTGCATGGGATTAGGAGATAAGAAGTCATCCTGTACCCTTCCAAATGTCCTCCAAGGGGTCAATGTTCAGCAGGCTCCTCAACCTTGCCTGGCATGTTGCAGTAGGAGGAGCTGGCCTGGGGACACAGATGATGGGTGACCCAGATGACCCAGGTGACCCAGGGTGCAGTAGAAAGCCTCCCCTGAGCTCTGTAAACCTCTCTTGAAACTCTTGCCCTCTTGGGAACCCCCACAGAGTGTGGGGACCTTGCACAGAGGCTGAGGTCAGAGCTTGTGAGTGGGCGGGTTTCAGATCAGCCAGGCGAACAGATCAGGAAACTGAGATGCTAAAGAGGCAGAGCCTTCTTCAACCAGGCTGGGACCAAACCACCCCTCCCACCCAGGCCCAGCACTGCCCTGCATAGGGCTATAGAAACCAGCTCCTGAATTGAACGGTTCAGAAACACAATGCCCTGGGCTCCTCTCCTATCCATCACCCCAAAACTCTGCCAGTCAGACTCAAGAGGCAAGACCCTGTGTTTGGGCTCCAACTTGGAAACATCTATGCTGTGCATTCTTGGTCAAGTCAGTCTCCCTTTCTGAGCTTTGGGCTCTTTGATGATCAAATGGGGAGAATCACTGCTCCATGGAATAGCTCATGAGAAACAAGTAAGACAAGAGGCAGGTGGGCATTCCATGGTGCTGGCAAATTGTCCTAGTGTGGAGGCTGCATCTGCCCATCATAGTGGAGACACCGAATTCCAGAAGCCGGTGCTACTTCTCAACTGGGTCCCTCTCTAGTGCCCCCGGAGGGGCAGAAGTCATGGTCAGAACAGTGAGGGTCCTGGAAGAGGAGCTATGATCAGGTTTGAAGGTGAGCAGGAAGGGTCCAGCTTGGCAGGAAAGGAGATGGGAGACCCCAAGTGAAAAAGGGACAAAAGCATAGAATGGGATCTATGCGAGGCTGTATGTCTGAGATGGTCTCAGCTCCAGGATTCCAAGTTCATTGTTCTCAGAGTCCAGCTCTTCTCAGAGTGAGTGCTGTTTCTTCAGTCTTGTTACTTATGGTTCTGATGGGCTTTGGTTTGAGATCCTCAGAACTACAGGAGTCTGCACTCAAGAGTAATCACAAGTCACATTCCCAGGAGCCATGAAGTCCCAGCAAGCACGCACCAGTGCCCTTGTGTGCCCTGCTTTACAGGGATCCTGTGAACTCAGCCTCATGTCATGCTCTATAGGGCCCTTGAGGAATGCCCATTCTGGCTAGGGAAGAGACATTGACATGGACCCAGTTCACCTGGGTGATGAAGACACAATCAAGGGGCCATGGAGCCCAGAGGAACTCCCAGCCAGCCAGAGGTGCTCAGGGAGAACTTCCCAGAAGAACTGGCACTTGGTAGATGATTAGGAGTTTGTCAGGTGGACATAGAGGTGAGAGGACACAGAAGGCAGAGGATGTAAGTGCTGAGACTCAGCAGGCAAGAGTATAGCCTGTTAAGGAAACACAGGTTGTGTGTGGCTGGCATGCACCGTTAGGTGGCATGGAATGTGTAGGGGCCCGAGGAACTCATATAAAAGAGCTCAAAGACCAGGTTGAGGAGCTGGGCCACTATTCTGGCTTAAAAGGGGAAGGTCATGGTCAGAGTTGACCTTTACAAAGATGGTGCCACATGTAAGGTATAGACAGAACTAGGGGGTCTGGCGGGAGGGAGATGAGGGAGGAGACATATAAGAATATGGTAAGAAGAACTGTTCTTTGACCCTGGACTCTCTGCTAGATGGGTAGCATCCTTCCTCAGCACCCCAACCCACCCATGGTAAGTCTTCCTCCTACAAAGTGGGCTGGGAGGCTGGACACTCACCAGGAAGCCATAGGAATACAAGTCTAAGGGAGGCCCCCAGTGCACAGACCTCTTCTCTGAGGAACTGCAGTGACAGTGACAGGGTACCAGGATGGAAGATCAAGAGCTGCCCAGAAGGGCTTGGGCTGCTCACCCTCCCACTAGGGATTCCTGCTATTTATCCCAGGACACACATGACCCAGGCCTAGGAGACTGGGTGATGAAGAAGTATAAGAACTCTTCTGTTCAAGGACACCCTCTGTGTGCCAGGTGATAGGGACAGGGTAAGAAAGCAGGGATGACTCAGCCTCGACCTGCAACTGGCCTCTCTCAGGGATGGGTACAGAGGTCAAGGAGAGTCCCATAGCCAGCTTCCCTCCATCAGCTTTCCTCCATCAGTACCCAGTGGTAGGGACAGAACAGGCCTGAGATTCCAAGGGCAGTCCAAGAGGAAGGTGTGAGATAAAAGGCTTATAGAATGTAGTTAGAGGAGAAGAAGGATTCCATCAGGGGCACCTCTGCCTCCCCTCACCAGATCTGCAAGCCTCCCCTGGCCCTATGAGCAGAACTGAGCTGGCCTTATCTTGTCAGCAGCTGGGTAAGCCATGAAAACAGGTTCCCAGGAGAGGATTCAAACTCCTTTCGGCTTTGAAGGTAGAGGACTTGCCTTGCCTTGATGGGGCTTCTGTCTTGGATGGGGCAGGTAGGCAGGAGGCCCAGATTTCACTGGGCTTTGTGATCTCAGGGAAGATACTCCCCAAACCTCTTTATTTCCTCATCTGCAACACGGAGATAATAATTCCTTTCTCACAGGGCCATTGGAGGATAAAATGAGGGTTTTTTAAAAACACTGTTACTATCAAGCTATCTTTGTAGAGGGGGTCATGGGGAGAGGAAGGCATTCAATAATTAAATTCCCATAACCAACACAATCCCTTGTGATTGCACCTGTGTTCTATTATGCTCTTCAAAAGACCTTTGAGTATCATGCTCCTCCCCATGCACTGCATTGAGTTGACAAAGCCCTTTACTGGGCTGGGAGTGTAGGTCAGTGGTAAAGTGCATCCTTAGCATGCACAAGACCTGGGTTCAATCCACAATACACACACACAACACACACACACACACACACACACACACACACACACCAAGCCCTTTCCTGGCCTCTATCTTAAGAATCCTCTAAGCCCACTCCTTGCCCAGCTCTGAATCTACACCAGTGCCAGTCGGACCAGCAGCGTCCCTGGGCTGCGCCCACCAACCTCTTCAAGGGTCTGATCTCCTTCAAAGAGGCAAGGATCAACATTCCCAATTTATGGGCGGCAAACTGATACTTTGAGAGGCACAATTACATAATGGGTTACAGCCATGAAATCAAAGCTTTTGTTGGGCTCATGAGATCTTGGTGATGACCTTATGTTCTCTTAGTTGTCTTTGGGGGGAACTGGGCCCTGTGCATCCTGTGCAAGATGGGGACAGGAATGGAGAGGTCACAGCCACACTCTTTAGGCCAAGTTCAACAGCCATTTCTGAGGGTTGCCCAGTGCTCCCCAACCCTCTGTCTATGCCCCAGGACAGCCCAGGCAGAGAGGAGAAAGAGTGACAGGACTTTTGTGCCAGGACTTCTCCCTCACTCCCTAACCCCACACTCTCACATGCAAGACCTTACTGGTCCTTTTAAAGGGTAGCTGCTCAAAGAACCTCCTTTCTCCTATTCTCACCACAGAAAATTGAGACTTCCCTGGGGTTCAAATCCGATCCTCAAAAGCTCATCATATTCTAGCCTAGCTCCAAAGCAAGACGGTGGACCCAGGGAATCTTGCAATGCTATGCTGAGAGGAATAGAGATCCCCCATCTTCATGAATCCCAAACTGGCAGAGCTAGTTTCTAGCAGGACCTGGTACTTGGGCTGGATGCCCTGGAGGGTGGGGGGTGGGGGCCAAGTCTGACACTGGCTGTCCTAGTGGGAGGGGGCACTGCCTTTCTCCTGACTGACCCTTTCTACAGCACCACCTGCCAGATTAAAAGTCTGCTGACAGATTAAAGTCTTAACTGTTCTTCCTCACCACTGCCCTCCTCCGCCCGTGCTACTGCCTTCCCAGTTTTACCAACGCTCAGGATTGGGGTGGGTGGGAGCCACCCAGAGCGATCCTGGGGGGGAGGACAGGAGTGCAAGAGGTCTTGGGAATTGCCTAGTCTCTGGCCGTCCCATTGCTCCAGGGGCTCCTACACCAAACAACAGTTTAGAGCGCACACACACACAAGTTCAGATACTCTCTCCCCAGGGGCACCCACTGACACACAGACTTTCCCAATAGGCGGACATACACACCCTAGTCCGCGGTGGCTATCCACACTCACTGAGATCTACGCGCCAGCGAAGACAAAGATCAACCACGGATTCACGGGGCGTCCCGCCGTCCAGTTACGCGCCACACTCAGGCTCGGAACCATGCCCTGGTCGGGCAGTGAGACACACACGGCCCATTCCTTGCCCAGCGCCGAGTCCGCACCCGCGCCAGTCGGACCGGCAGCGTCCCTGGGCAGCGCCCGCCAACCTCTCCGAGGGTCCGATCTCCCACTAGGCGGCCTGTCTCTTGCCTCCACGCTGAATTCGTCCGCCCCAGGTGCTGTGGCCGCTGTTCCCCGGTGCCGGTGCCGGCGTCTTGCCGCTGCGCAGGGTCCCACGTGCCTGGGAGCGCCGCGGCCCCCGCCCCGCCCCGCCCCACCTCGCTCCCTACCCTGCGGCCTGGCCCCCGGGGCGGAGCGGACTCTGGACAGACCCCGGCACCGCCCCCACACGCCCGAGTAGATACCTCGCCACCTCGCCACCCGTCACCACTCTGGGGACGCCGCCCAGCCCCACAGTCGTGGGGTCAGCGCACCCGCAATGGGGGCTGCGCAGGAAGAGCAGGAAGACGGTCCTAGGACCTGGCCCGGCAGAAGGAAGAAACCGTCAGACTCACTCAGAGGAGCAGGGAGCGCAGGGAGCTTGTGAGAAAAGATCCTGAGAGACGCCAAAGTTTTACTAGGTTTGCAAGCTGGCCTGGCTCCTGTCATTACCCATTGAGGGACCTTTGCGACGATTCGCAGCCTCTATCCTGTTCCTGCCCCAGCACCTGTTCTCCTTGATGGGACCAAGTCAGGTCACCACGCTGAGACCGGAAAGCCCAGGGAACACTCAGGTCTCTGCCTCTCTCTCCAGCCCCTAGCAGTGAAGGGAGGCCCTGTCCCTGTGCTCTCCTTCCCCTTCCTTCATTCCACCAGCAGGTCACCAGATTCCTCATTCTTTTTGGTCTCTCACCTTTAGCTGCTTTAATTCCCTTCTCTGCCCTCAACCCCACTCTGATGGCCTTATGTAGTCATAGACCGTATTCCTGTCCCTCTCCAGTCTGAGCTCAGGAGGGCAGGGACCAGGTGGCCCTTCTCCCTACTGCTATCCTAAAGGTCCTGGGAGGTGCTGTGTCCTGGCTTATGTGTAAGTATGAATGAAGGAGAGCCTCCCTACCCGGCCTCATTTCTGGTTTAGAAGTCAGGAGTGTAGATTCTGGCACTGACTCAGGGACTTTCAGCCACTGTTCCAGTCCCTCTCAGGGCCTCTTTGCTGTGAAAGGGAGCCATCCCACTCATCCTCCCACCTACCACTGGCCATCTATTGGCTCTTTGGATGGTCCAGTGGCTGGACAAGTGCAGAACAGGCTTCTTCCTGTGGCCAAGGAGTTTGCCCAGGGTCCTGGGGCCTGACTGGGCTGCAGGTCAGCTGACAGGGGCCTGGCTGCCAAGCCCAGTAGGGGCCCCAAAGGATGCTGGCTGCATCCCTGCAGGAGTAAGAGCAGGGAGGACATACAAGGCTCTGTGGCTAAGAAGCATCTGCAGTCCCCTGGGATTTGCTTGGGAGACACAAAGGCCCCTTGTCCTTCCTCCTCCGCCTGTTTTCCAGGCTGATCCATTTCAGTTTCCAGAGGCCTAGCTCTTCCCACATCCCCAACTTGTTGGGCCGAGGCCTTAGGGTCCCAGTGTGGGTAAGTCTTTTGGGCACTGTAATCTCTTCCAATCCCCTCTCCCTCTTCTCCCTTTCAAGCTGTCAAAACTTCTATTGTGCCAGGTGTGGTGGTGCACACCTGTAATCCCAGCAGCTCAGGAGGCTGAGGCAGGAGGATGGTGAGCTCAAAGCCAGCCTCAGCAAAAGTGAGGTGCTAAGCAACTCAGTGAGACCCTGTGTCTAAATAAAATACAAAATAGGGCTGGGGATATGGCTTAGTGGTCGAGTATCCCTGAGTTCAATCCCCAATACCCAAACAGAACAAAACAAAACAACAACAACAACAACAAAACTATTGTCACAGCTGTTTCCCCTTTGATATCAAGATGAAGGCCCAAGCCCAGCCTCAGCTTCTAGCAGACACGCCACAAAGTACTCAGTCCAGGGCTGTGCGTCCTCTGCTATGGTCCAACTCCCCTACTCTACAGCCAAAGGAACTACATCCCTGAGACTTTTGACACCTGACCCTCATCAGGCGATATAGTAAAGGGCCCTGTCCTTGAACCCCACCTCCTCTGGTTCAGATTCCTGTCTGGCCTCACTTCTCCTATGACTTCTCTCTGAGCCTCAGTCTCCTCTCCTGTAAAATGGAGTGTTAATAATAACCTTATTTGCTGGCCTGTCTAAAAGTTCTTTTTTCAGGGTTTTGCCCATCATCCTGAGCCACCCAAGTTCAAGGATTTGTATTCTTTCCAAGAAAAGCTGGGGGTGGAGATCCCCTGACACTTTGCCAGGCACTTCATGCAATTTTGGAAGTCATCAAGTCCAATGGGCTTCACATTCCATAGCAAAGTCCCCCTTACCGGGGCTGTCTGGGACCCTCCCATTCCACTTCAACTTATGCATTTGTGCTTTGTGTTTTTACTTATTTGCATTTCCTGGTAATTTGTTGAAAATACATAGATGATTCTATGGCTAAAAGAATTTACAACCATTGATCCAACCAGGAAATTGAGGCCCAGTGAGTCACACAGCAAGTGCCTTCTAAAGGGGTAGAATAGCAACAAGAGAGTCTCTCTGGAACCAAGCAGCCTAATGGTGAAGGCCCAGGCACAGTAATAGTCCCCACGAGGTGGGTAATGGAGCCATGGGGGCACAGGGGAGGGCTCCATTAGCAGCAGTGGGTCAGGAGGGGCAGAGCAGAGCATGGCTCCCCGCTCCCACCATGCATTAGGAGGCTTCCTGCCTCTCCAGCCCTGTGGAGGCACTTGGCTCACCAGGGGCCTTTTCATCTTCCCTCTCTTCACTTCTCTCACCTCCCTTGAGAGAAACTTCTGCAACTGCATACTGGGGTGGAGTCCTTGCTTGGCCCAGGTTCTAATCCTGTCGCAGACTAAGGGGGTGTCTCTGCCACTCCTCACTGCCATCCTTGCCTCACACTGCTTGGAGGCTCTGACATCCTCAAGACAAAGCCCAGCTCCAGACTGGCACTATGGGCCCCACCTCTGTGCTTTGCCTTCTGCCAGCTGGGCTAAAGAGCGGAGCCCTTGCTCACCTCCTGCCTGGTACTTGCTGCTCCCTCTTCCTGCAACATCTCCTCTCGGCTTTTGACCTCCTCCTGGCTTCCAGCCAGAGCTCCTCTAAGACCTAGCTCAGGTGCCCTGCCACTTGCCACACTGCTGTCTCTCTCAGTGCCTATCTCCTCCTTTATTGAGAACATGTTTGAGGGTAGGGCCTGGGTCCTTCCTGCACACAGATAAATGCCCAGTACCCTGTACTGTCCCAGTCACATTGTCAGCCTCCATGAGTATCTGTTGTGAGTGAAGGAGGAAGGATTCCATTTTGTGATCACATTCTTTGTGCTAGTCATGGTTAAGGCAGCCCCCTCCTTTGCCCATGAGATGGATATTATCATTCTCATGTTAATTTTAGGGAAACTGAGGCTAAGGAGGGTGAAGTAAAAGTCCAAAATCATGCAGTGAGCCTGTAGTGAGTCTCCTGGCCCTGGAATGGCACCCTGTGGGAAGGAAGGCCCTGCTGAGTTCCCATAGAAATGGCTAGACCAAGCTATTGGGACTCACACTGGTGGCTCCAGTTACACAGGGCTAGGTTGGCTCCAGCAACCTGGCCTTCCTTGCTCCCTGGACTGCTACAGCAGCCTGCAGGCCAGGAACTGAGCTCCTCAGATTTCCAGGCAGGGGCCAGGGCTCGGATGCTGACTGCAGCCTGGTGGCTCTGGCTGTCAATCAGGCCAGAATGCAGGCCCCCAAGGAGGCAGCTCTGAGAAATAGGAAGCCTGGTCCAGGCCTAGGAAAACCTCCACTCTACTTCCCCTACAAGCAGAATCAGCTATATAATTTGTGGGACATAGGACAAAATGAAAATGTGGATACTCTTTTTCAAAAATTATTGAGAATTGCAAAATTGTGACAGCAGAATATTAAACAAAATTCAAGGCCCTTCCAAGCTTGGACCCCATGTAATTCTATAGGCCGTATGCCTGTGAAGCCAGCCTTATCCTTAGGCCTTGGTTTCCTCATCTGTCAAATGGGAGAATGGTAGCTTCTTGGCCAGACAAGGTAAGGATGAGGTAGAAAAGTAAGAAAAGTCCAGGGAACAGAGTGAAGGTTGGGTAGGGGTTCTCGTGAACATCACTTATTGTTTGGGTCTTAGCCCTGGGTACTGGATCAATTTGCACCACAAGTTTGATTCCTTACAATGGCTCCTTTTCATGGACTTAACCAGGGAGGGGCTCAGAGAAGCAAGATGCTTAGGGTTATGCAGAGACTCAGTAGGGAAAGCCAATGTCAGAGCCCTGGCCTGTCTCTCAGCAAAGCTGGTGCTTCTTGTAACACAGAAGAGAGAGAGAAGAGAGGGAGAGGGAGAAGGGCAAGAGGGAGGTGGGAGGGTAGGAGGGAGGCTGCTCAGGACAAAGAGGGCCACTGTGTAAACACAAAGACCTAACCACAGAGGCCCCACAGGGGCTGGGCCAAACAGATGGACGGAGCTGTGTGGCTCTATCCATGGCGACCAGGGGAGCTGCCAGGAGCTGCCTCCCAGCCCCTCCCTAGCTGTGTACGTGTGGGGTGGGGGGAAAGGGGGCATGCAGAAGCCAGGAAATGGGTCACTGAGGAGAACCAGACTGAGGGCTGGGCCCTTTACACCCTGCCCCAGGCCTCCAGAGCCAGTGCTGCACACCCACCTGTCCCCAGCAACTCCAGGGCCTCGGCCTTACACTGTTACCCCCCACCCCCAGGGATGACCATCTGAAAGTCTTAACCTCACAATCTTGCTTCTGATCACTCCCCCATCACCCCCACAAGGGATAACAAATAAATCCCTTGATGTGTCATTCAGGTTTCTTTGTGACCTGCCTGATCTTTCCATACTCATCAGCCTCCCATACCACAGTCACATGTGACATCCCACCAGATGTCTCCTCCCTTCTTCTTTTATTTATTTATTTATTTATTGGTACTGGGGATTGAACTCAGGGACACTCAACCACTGAGCCACATCCCCAGCCCTATTTCTGTATTTATTTAGAGACAGGGGCTCCGTGAGTTGCTTAGTGCCTCGCTATTGCTGAGGCTGGCTTTGAACTTGCAATCCTCCTGTCTCAGCCTCCCAAGCCACTGGAATTACAGGCGAGTGCCACTGCACCTGGCAGCTCCGTCCTTACACACACACAGCTCTCTGTTTGTTCATACTTTTCCTTTTTC